GGGGGTGGTGGCGGCTGGAACACACAGGGGAGGGGGTGTTAAGGCCTCCAGTCTCCAGCACAGGGGGGCCCTCAGCCAGGCCCCAGGCATGTGGCCTGAGTAAGATGGGTGTTGACTGTGGGTAGGGACAGGCCCATCAACCCTGCGCGTGTCCCCAGGCCCAGCCCACATGGCTTGCTTCCAGAACACACACCAGTAGGCCTTAAGCTTGGCTCAGATTCCACGTCTAGCCCGCTCGCCCTGGTTGGTGGCCCATCCTGGCCAGTCCCGTCAGACACCACCCGCTGGGACGCCAGTCCTTGGGGCGACTCCCCACGCCCATCAGGAGGCGCCGGGTCCATGGCCTCACGGACCGGGTGATATAGAAATCCCACAAGGGCAGCCGCTCCCCCGTCCTGTCTACGAGGGGCCCTGTGCCACACCAGCCTGTGCACAGCTCCTGCCTGCCCTGTGCCCTCCTGGGGCCCCACCTGGCACCAGGTGGGTGGAAGAGGTTGTGGGGCATCGAGCATGGGTGCTGGGGGAATGAGGGGGCAAGCAAAAGTGGGGGTAGGAGCAGGGCCCATGGGGTTCTGAGAACCTCACAGATGGGAGCGGTGGGTCAGCTGGGCTGCGGGACGTGGTGATACGCAAGAGCTCCGCCCCGGGAAGGCGTGGTGACGTCCCTGGCTACGCTTTACAGACCATGAGGGTCAGTGCAAGTAGCTCCTGTACTGAAGGTCTCCCCAGCGCACTTCTCCGTCAGAGGCCACGGAGGCTGCCGCAGCCCCCACCCCGGGCACCCCAGGACCTGACTCCTCATCGACTGGGTGAAGGGGACACGGGACCCGCGGCTGAGCCCTACAGAGCCCGTCCTGGGTTAGCACAGGTCGCACAGCCCCCAGCAACCCTGGCCACGGGATGGAGATGCTCTGTGGTCAGTGTGTGCGGGTCCTGTCTGGAGGACACGTGGCCTCCTCCTCTCGGTAGTGGGGATCAGGGTCACCAAATCACACTCCCTCCAGCCTCCCCACCTGAGCAGCCATAGGGGCCGGCCATGAGAGAGAGAGAGAGCGTGTGTGTGCGTGTGCATGTGCGTGTGCGTGTGCGTGTGTGGGTGTGTGCGTGCGTGCGTGCGTGTGTGTGTGTGCATGTGTGTGTGTGTGTGTGTGTCCTCCTGACTCCTTAGCATGCGGCACTTACGCAGAGCCACGGAGCAGAGTGGGGAGGGAGCGTGCGCAGAGGTCCCAGCCTCAGTCACAGGCTAGGGCACCTGGAGGGGCTGGAGTGGTGACAAGTGGGCACACTTGCCATCCGGTGTGGGCACGCCCCCTGCCACCCCTACACGGGGAAACACACCTCTTTTGTTGGTCCACACCTGGGGCAGGTGAGCCTGCACACAGCCTCACAGCTCTCTTCCCCTCTGGGGGCCCCGCCCAAGGACAGCTGCCTAGGGGTGGCCTAGTGAGCTCTTCCTGTGCATGCGTTCTCGGTAACAGGAAGAACTAGATGGTGGCCGGCTACCATCTCTGACCACTCAGACTGGGACCACGAGAGAAGGTTCTGGACTGAGTGTGGGTTAAAGGTAGAACATGATTCTAATCCATGCAAAAGACCAGACTCTCTGGTGGGACAGAGACTGGCAGAGAACCCCAACTACGACTTAGTCTTCCATCAGACCCGGAGCAGAAGCCCTCCCAGGAGAGGGCTGGCAACCACACAACAGGCAGGCCGACGGAGAGAGCGGTGCCAGCCCAGAGCAACAGGCCCTGTCCCTCAAGAGGCCAGAGGGACAGCCGGGGGAGGAGGTGGGCACCTGGGTTAGCGGACGCGGGATTGCACAACCCCACACGGCCGTCTGACCAGGTGCTGGGCAGAAGCCCATGTCTGCTCTGCCGCCCCCTAGTCAGCCATCTATGGAATGAGGGGGCTGGAAGGAGCCTGCACGCACCCCACCCAGCGAGCTGCACCCTAGCGCCAGGAACTTGAGCCACTCTATGTCCTTCTCCATGGGGGGGTCCAGCCTCAGGAGCGCGTGGAACTTCTCGGTGGGCAGGCACAGGTTCCTCCACTTCTGCTCCAGGTCGTCCAGGTCCACCATGAGCTTGTGGCTGCACTGGGGAGGGAACAGGGGGGGCGGGGCAAGGCTCGTCAGAACGGGTGCCCAACTGGCACCTCTCTCTTCTCACGTCGTGGGTTCATTGAGTGGTGATGCAGCTGCCGGGCACCTTGCAGAGGTCCCTTGGAGGGACTGCAAAGCCCCCAATCCTCTAGGGTGGACACTGGTTGCCCCTGCCGGCCATGTGCCGAGGGCAGTCCTGGCTCCTTCCTAGGCCGAGTGGAGGGCTGCCCGTCTATCCCTCCAGGTCAGGGGCTTACACCTCAAGGAGGGACCTGCTCCTCATTTCAGGAGCAGCCCTGGTGGCAGAGTGGTTCAGTATTGGGCTGCAAGCTGCAAGGTCAGCAGTTTGCAACCACCAGTCACACCTGGGGAAAAAGATGAGGCAGTACATCCCCACAAAGAGTCCCGGAAACCCCTGTCCTAGCGGGTGGTTAGGAGTCAGAATCCACTCGATGGCAGCGAGTTTGTTCTGAGGTGGTGTACAGGGAGAAAGAGGAGGCTTTCTACCCCTGTAGAGAGTCACCATCTCAGAATGTCTCCAGAATCTGGTTTTCAAGACTCCAGAGGCCCCTGGCGTGGTTGTAAAGGTTGTAGGGGTGGTCTCTCATGGTCCAAACCCCACCTCCACCCCACTCCCTCCTCGGAACCGGCCGGAAGCTGCTGCCTACCTGCTTGTGTAGCACCTTCAGAAGCCCCTGCGTGAGGCCCGTGTCTGTCTTCTGGGTGGCCACTGGGATCTCGAGTCTGTCCTTCACAGGAAGGGGGTCCCCTCTGGACAGAGCTGAAAAATAGCTAAGACCAGCAGGCGGCCAGCCGTCAGAAGCTTGGTGGGTACTGTGGGGGCCCATCAACTGGGCATTGGGAGACCTGTCTCCCTGGAAGGGTCTGTGGTAGTTGGATGGCTGTATGTCAACTTGAATTTGTCTCAAAGTGTAGGGGTGATCTTCTCTCAGTGTGTTGGATGCCTCCTCCGGGGGCGTGGCCTTCTTATAAGGAGAAACTGGGAACCTCCCTCTCTCTCTGCCACTTTGCCTTCCTTCTCACTAGGACCTTCAATGGGACTCTGTCTGCCTCCGGGGGTGGCCCCCTGTGGGTTGCTCCACCCTGAGAGCTGTAGGCTCCCTGCCATGTTCCCACCAAGCTCAGATCCACACAGCTCTGCACCCACCGGCCTGTTTCCTGCTTCACCTCTCCATGTCACCAGCCATCAGGGACATGAGTCTGAAGAGGGCCCCGGCTAGGACTCAGGGACATGAGTCTGAAGAGGGCCCCAGACTTACGGACTCAGTTGGACTGAGCTGGTGTGCCTTTTTAACATAAGACGGCTGCTTGATATAAAGGCCTTGTACATCAATGATGTCACAGGTTCTGTTTCTGTAGACAACCTGGCCTGACACGGGGCCCCTCCTCTGGACATTGGGACTCGTCCTCCAGGAAGTGGGGGCCTGTCCCATGGAAGGGACCCCCCTCTCAGGACATTGAGAGTCTGCCCATTGGGCGGTGAGGGCCAGTCCCCCTGGAAGGGGCTCATCCTCTGGGCAGTGAGGCTTGTCTGTCCTCTAGACATTGGGAGCCTGTCTTCTGGGAAGCGAGGGCCTGTCCCCAGGAAGGAGCAATCCTCTGGACAGTGGACGCCTGTGCTGGTCTGGGCTGCCGGCTCACCCCGCGGACCACTGCAGCACGTCGGCCGGCTGCGTGCGGATGGCAGCCTTGGTGAACTGCTTCAGGATGTCAGGCAGCTCCGGAGGGATGTGGATCTGCTGCGCGCAGAACATGGTGTCTGGAAGCGGCATGGCGTCGGGACCAGGCTGGGAGGACCGAGGCTGCTGCTGGTGGGCAGGCAGGCGACGGTGCGGTCAGCCCTGGCCAGGGATCCACCCACCCCGTCACCCTTATTTTGAGGCTGGGCAATGGGGCCAGACCCCTCCATCCCGCCTACCACCCAGGTATAGGGTCTTAGTCTCAGGAAGAGGTTCAGGTGTCTGGCGACCCTCCCTGGGTTTGGAGCCAGGGTCCTGGATCCGGCTCAAGGTCAGCGTGTCCCTCCCCGGATTTGGGCTCCCGGTGGGGCTCGGGTTAGCGACCCGTTGGGGTCCGGGTCCGTCAGTGTGTCTGGAGGGGCACTCGGGGACGTCTCACCGCCTCCTTCTCCAGTTTAGTGGGGAATAGGGACCAACGGCCCCTTGGACGACACACCACAGTTGCCAGCCACAGCGCCCACTACTATTGTTGCTCATAGGTATCCAGGCAACCAGGACGCGCGAGGGCCACGCCCCCAGCGCCGCGCGCACTCCTTGGAGACTCCGTGCAGGCGCATCGGTGCAGTGGAGGCGGAGCCGCGTACGCTCACACGCTCTGCGCGGGCCGAGGCGGTGGGTAAAGCGCGCGCCTGCGCAGTGCGGCCCAGAGCGGTCCTCCACGCGGTTTGTTCCCCTTGAGTGGCTGCCCTAAGCTGTCCCGCTGATGAGATGCTCAGGCCTCGTGATCCCGGCTCCCGGCGCTCGGCTGGATGCTCGCCCCAAACAGAGGGCAGGGCTGCGGGGTCCACGCCGGACCTCCCGGGGCTCCAGCCCGCTGAAAGTGCGCACACGCGGGCACCAAGGGCACCCCAGATGCACCCGCCGAGTGCACATTTCATGTCCATAACCCCGTGCACACGCACCAAGCGCACACCCACGTCAGACCCGCACAGCAAGTCCCCAACCGCACATCCCCCAATACGCGACCCGCTAAAAGAACACCCATGTGCACCCCACAAATGTGCACCCCAAATACGCCCCAATTATACACCGCCTTACTTTGTTAGCTACTCCGTGTACAACCCTGGCGGGCCCTGCACCATCCTCACCATCTTGGTTAAGGGGGTGCCATGCTGGTTATCTGAGACTAGTGACCTAGAACTGGGACATCGGAGCTTTGTATTGGAGCTTAACCTCAGCCCTCGGTCTGCAGAAGGCCAGGAGGGACAATGAGGAGGATTTGAAGCACTTGCTGGTGAAGATGAAGGATTGCAGCCTTCCGTGTGGATTAAGATTCAATGTAGAGACCAAACGGTAACATCGTTGGTCAATGGAGACAAGGTTGAAGTTGTTGCGGATTGTCTCACTTGGAACCACAGCCAGTGCTCATGGAAACAGCAGTCTGGTGCTAATGGTCGCCCACAGTGGAATGCCATAACCTTGTGCTAATGGCCTCCCTCATTAATGTGCCTTCCTCATGTTTAAGACTTAATATATTAAGGCTCTCCTCGAATTGTATTTCAAGCTTGAAGTGTCTTGTGGACTTTGAAACAGTTTTTAGTAGCATGGCAGCATGCAAGCCCCCAGGGTGCAATAGTGACAGATGAGGGGGTGACGGTAATATGGGGGCATAAACAATCTAAGCCCAAGCCCACTGCAGTCAAGTTGGCCTTAACTCACAGTGACCCTACAGGGCAGAGGAGAATTTCCTTTTGGGGTATCAAGGGCTCAAGTAGGAAGAAAATGTTTTTAAAATGATGGCAATGTATGTGCTTGATACAATTGATGTATGGATTGCTGTAAAAGCCCCCAGTACGATGATTTATTTTTTTTAGAAAGTATTTAAATAGAGAGGCTATCCTGCCCTCTCTGCCTGCACTGTGCGTGGACCTGGCTGGTGAGATCATGGCCGTCCAGGAGCTCCATCTTGTTAGAAACCTCGAATCATGAAGGACAAGTGGAGGAAGAGAGCGCACAAGAGAAGAAAGGTGAGGCAGAGGTCCAAGTAAACCAACGGTGTGCACCCACAGAAGCCACGGCTGCAGGAAGATGGAGTGCCCGAGGCCGGGACACCGGTACAAGTTGCATGCTACCCTCTACGAACCTAGAACCGTGCAACCACCACAAGCAACTGAGACCCACCCTGTCACACCTAACCAGTCCGGCTTTCCTTTGGATTATTTGTTGGGGGTCGTACAGCTCTATCACGGTCTACGCATCCATCCATTGTGTCAAGCACATTTATACATTTGTTGTCATCATCTTAAAGTATTTTCTTTCTACTTGAAAAAAAATTTTTTTAAATAACCAGATCTATTTTTTTGTATTATAGGCCTGTTAGATTTTTCCACATCAGCCTGTGTAACTTGAGTAGGTAATGCATTTCTAGATACTCACTCATTTCTTCTGGATTCACAAATTTGTGGGAATACATATTTCTTTACAACACTGCGATTAAAAAAAAATCTGTTGGTTCTGTTGTAATGTCACCTATTTCATTTCTTATGATACTTGATTTTTCTCCTTTTTTTGGTAAGGTTTGCCAGTGGTTTATCGATCTTTTCAACAAACCAACTTCTTGCCTTGATTTTTAAATTATTTTTGCTCTGATCTTTAAAAATTTTAAGTAAAAAGACATTTATTGGGGCATATCCCGAGAAAGTCATTTTTATTAGATGAATTTCTTAGGTACTGTAATTTCAGTTAGTTTTGTAAAAAAAAAGAAAGAAAAAAAAAAAGCCTGCAGCCTCTCTTGTACTATTTTCCCCCAGACATTTATCCTACAGAATATAGGGCGACTACAGAGTGCTGCAGAGGTGGGTAGCAGAGACCTGAGAATTGCTGGCCTAGGTAGGGAGCAGTCCTACCTCAGCTCAACATAGGTTACAGTACTTACATATCATCATGACCAGATCAAAGATATTATTGGGGCTTACCACCTCAATATACAAATAAAACTTAGCCATCATGTCTAAAGGCAGACTATAGACCAGACACTGGTCAGTACTTTAGGGATAGACCATTTTTTGCTAACACGATCAAACCAGATCGTCAGGAGAGACGGGCCTGCACTTTGTTATGGCAAACGATGCCGGATGTCCCGGGTCACTGTAGGCTCTGCAGACCAGGTCGGTAGGTTGTTTTGTGATCTGCTCTCACTGTGGCACTCAGGAGGAACTTCAATTGTGGCAGGAACAGACTGTCTGGGGCCGCCAGGTAACCACCCAACTGAACCACTGCAGCCTTCAGTGCCACAGAATCTAGGACGGACAAATTAGCTAGAGAGCCCTGTTCAGGTTTATGTTGCTGTACATTATGCTGTACATGCTCATTTTTAAGTGTCCAAATAGGCTTCCATCTGAAACTAGCAGTGAACTCAAACAAACCTCATGTTGTCTTCATGATACACAGCGAACAGATCATGAAAGTGGCCTTGTCAGCTGTGCTTCGGTTGCTGGCTGATACGGTGCACGTCTGGAGGAGGGGACCGAAGGCACAACAAAACCTGCACAAAATCAGCCAGGCCAGAACTCAATGGCATCGCTGAAGAATCATGAGATGCCGAAACTCACAATGCGAGTGTGTCTGATTTAGTATAGGACTTGGCCCACGGTCAGGTGGAGGGAGTTCAACCTTGTCCATTAATTTACTTCCACGAAGACTCAAGCTACTGAAGAATCATTTGTTTGCTTAGCAAATGCACTTCTTCAATGGCAGTCAGCAAGGTGTTTGCAGTGTTCCCAACAATGCCACCACCTGTACGGTGGTAAAATCTGAAGAGTTAGAACTTTTATGTAATAAAATTGTTCTAGGTTCAGCAACTACTGCTTGCTCAATTCGAAGCTGTAGGGGCCTACACACACCCTCAGTGATAGGCCCAACAAGTTCTTGAATATTGTCCTCAACACCTTGTGCGGTGACAAGCTCTAAAAGGGCTTTGAGACGTTCCTTTTCGGAAGCAGTCGCGTGATGGAGCCAAGCTAGCCTACCTCCAACATACCTCTAGGGGCACAGGAGTGCCCTTCAGCGGGTCTGGGTGGTTCTTCCGGGGTCGGTCACACAGCGTCCATGGCCGGTCAGTACTGGGGATATGTCACATGATCCTTGTGCCAATGTCCGCATTCCCTTGGAGCCCATCAGTCAAGTCTTCGTAAGCTGCTCCTTGAAGAAGGCGATCAGCTCCATTGTGGATCCGTTTCACACTTCCCCATGCTTTGAAAAAACCCTGAGTAACAGGCCCTGCTCTTGTGCCTCAGGGAAGACCCATTTCATCAGGAGACTGCTGGAACTTGGATAAGAAGGCATCTACGGCTTGTGCTCTGATCTCCTGACCGTCAGCTCTGGGGTTTTCACTATTAGCTCCCGAGTCAGTTCTTCTGCGGACTATAAACCACTTGTCCTATCCTGACAAGTTGCTCGTTGTGCGGACGTCTTCATTTATGCTTTAGAGTTCCTCTTTCACTTCCTTGAACACATGTACAAGTTCCTGGTTCATGGGGAGACTTCTGCATTCAATATCCCCACCTACATTTCTTCAAGTTCACAAACTATCTCCAACAGCACAAGTTCAAAGTTCCTTGAGATTTCCAGCATCTCCTTGCCGTCCAGCTGCGTCTCCAGGATCTCAGGCGCTTCAGGGACAGCAGGCGGCTGCTCTGCCCCGACGTCCCGCTGGCCCCATTAGTCAGGCTGTTGGCAGCCAACGGGGACAGTGGCGACTACTTCTTGGATGGCCTTGGCCGTAGCATCTGTATCATCCACTACTGCAGGGCAACCACCTCAACCCACAGAGGGGTCTGTGCCGGCATTGTTATTTTTCCCTCTGATCTTTACTATGTTCTTCTTGTGTCTCGGGGTTTGTTTGGCTGGTCTTGTTCCAATTGTTGTGGTTGATGTGTTGAGGCATTTAATTCTTCCTTGTGGCTACTTATTTTGCAATAGCTTCAAGAAAACAGGAAACCCCACTGGTGAGAAAAAGGCCAAGGTACGGAGGAATTGTATCCCAACATCACCATACACCGGCTCGCTCTTCCAGGGAGCAAGGTTTGCCTCAGGGGGATTTTGTTGGGAACTTTGTCCCATCCACCCTCCATCCCCAATCTTGCTCCTCCAGACTTCTTTCTGTTCCTAAAATTCAAGGACAATATAAAAACACAACTGAAGTCCCTGGAGGGAGTCCAAATCACCGTGTTGACGAGGCATAAATTCAACAGCACAGAATTCTTCCGAGTATGGTGAGGAAGAGGGGGACACCAGCCTTGAGGAAGAGCAGCAGGCTCCACACACTGGCCTCTCTGGTCTTGCAGGGCACTCTGCCTCTCCCTGGACCAGTGGATAGCTCTGCAGGTTGCTAGTGCAGCCGGGTCCTGCACCAGCTCGCTTCCATCCTTCCTCTGGGGCTGCTCGAGGGAGAAGCGCTGGCACGCAACACAACCAGAAGGCGTTGACTGGCAGCTGCACTGGCGTTGCCACAACTCTTCACAGGTCGTCTCCGATCTGAACACTCAATGTAGTCTCTGATGGCTGCTGTAGCCCTGTGGTCCTCCTGTGCTGTGGACATTTCCAGGCTCCGCCCTCACGCTGTGCATGGAAGACTGGGACCCACACACCTCCTGTCCCCAGTTCTCGGAGCCTCGAGCTGGGAGCGCTGGACATACAGAAATCCGGTCCTCAGTGTCCGGGCCACTGAAAGGTGCAACAGTTTCCCATGCTCCCCCCGCACCTCCCAACCCCCGAGCCTCACCCTGCCGGCTCCCTTTTCTGCACAGACAAAATGGAGAAGATTTGATTTGCAGCTTTATTCTGTAAACGAAAGCTTTGGAAACGTTGGGATTCACAGATGGAACACCATGACGCGTGGCCAGCGGGCCAGACGCCATCACGGCACAGTGACCCTGTAGGATTTCTGGCTACTGCTGCCCAAGGGAGAAAAGGCAGCGGGGAGGGGCACTGATGACCTTGCCCCGGACGTCTCTTTCTTCTAAGCATGAACACGCCCCAACAAGCAAGGAACCCGACTCCCAATGCTGATCACAGGAATATCAAATTATCAAAATCAAAAATAATCTCCTCACCTAGCACAAGACACTATACAGTATTACAAACACGACACATGGAAAACATCAGGCAGTAGAAAATGTACAACAACTTTGGTGTCATACAAACAACTTCCCGACACTGGCGGTGATGTGCGGCTGAGGACGCCGCTCCCCCACACGCTGCTTGGCACGCTCCTGTCAAGATCACAGCAGGTCCACGTAAAGTGACACTGGGTTTAATAAATTAATAGACACTGTTGGGGGTGCACGCTGGCTGCGCCGCGCTGGTCCAGGAGGCCCTAGCTGGCACCCACAGCCGCAGTGTGGCGTCCAGGTGAGGGGGCGCAGTGGCCGCTCCTCGGGCTGAGAGGGCTTGGCGAGCACACACAACTGCCACCGCAGGTCTCCACAGGGAGCAGTCCACAGGAGAGGGCACAGAGAGGCTGGGGCAGGAGCTGGGACGGCACTTATTCCTGCGAGGGTGGTGGTGGGGGCGGCGAGGTGCCCGGCTTGCCTGACTTCCGCTCATAGTTCACGAGCCGCTGACCCACAAGGTACCTGGGAGACAGACAGTGGGGATGGGTTTAATGCAGGCACGCCCGAGGGGCACGCGGGCGGGGGCTCTGGGCTATGCAGACCAATCATCCCGGGTGTGGGAGGCAGGAAGTGCCGATCCACAATGTGTGTGTGTGTGGGAGGGTGGGGGGTGGTGGTGAGGGTGAGGGCTCCCTGGGCACAGCAGTGTCTCAAGGTCACACGCCCACCCGCCTTCCTCCCCCGCGTGCGACCCTGCAGGAAGAACAGATGCTCCCCAGGGTTCCCCAAGCTGCCATGCCACCTTGACAGCTAGCCTCCTCCCCCGCCTCCTCCCAGGAGCGGCGGGTGGGTGTGTGGACCTCCGGCCCTCAGGTTGAGCCCCTAGGGCTCCTTGGGGAGAGGACTTACTTGTCGTTTTTAATGTGCTCATAGAGGCGCTTGAACTGGCGGACCTGGAAGGACAGGATGCCCGCCAGGACGGCGACCATCAGCAGGAAGGGGTAGATGCGCCGCTGCACCAGGTTCTGCATCTCCTCCGTGACACCTGCGGGGACGAGGGCTCATTAGGGCGGGGTCTGCACATGCCCACTGCAGTGGAGTGGTGCTGGCAGGTGCACAGTGAGGGGCGGGGCGGGAGCGCAGGCACGTGCAGGTATGGAGGAAGCTGTGTGGACACATGCTGTCCTACTAACAGAGCCCATGCCCTGCTGTCCAGTCAGCGGGCTCCGAGGGAACCGTGTTCCTCCGAGCTTCAGGGAGGAAAACAAGACCCTCCCACCTGGACCCAGGGACAGCATCCAGATAAACAGGAGAAGGACCCACGCTTCCAAGGACTCCGTCTTGCTTGGATCCACAATCGATGCAGATGGAAGCAGCAGGTAAGGACTCAAAGGCAAATATAAAAATGGCAACAGCAGAGAGGGCGCGTCCACACAGAAATGATGCCATTATCAGTGTGAGGCGACATGTGAATGGAGAAAACCCTGATCTAATATGCTCGTTGCCTCAGGAAGCATTGAGAACAGTTATGTTAACCTTACAATGGCGTGAAATCCAACACATCAGGGTCTTCTTACTTGAAATAATGTCCCAATGTCCTCATCCCTCATACATGTCATAAGGGCACACATAAGAAAATCCAAAATTAGGGGGGGTGTTGTTACAGTGGGGGGTGGGGGTAAAAGGGAGACGATGTCAAGGAATCCAGGAAGAAAAATAATGTTTGGAAACTGATTGTGGTCGCAACTGTACAATTCTGCAAGATGTGATTGAACTACGGAACTATGTATGTATTAACTCCCAATTAATCATACATTTAAATAAAGAACTCAAAGGACACGTTGCACAGGGTAAAACTGTTGCAAGTGACCTCTATAAAGTGTTGAAAAGCAAGGATGTCACCTGGAGGCCCAAGGTGCACCTGACCAAGCCCACTGCTTCCTGTGTGCATGCAAGCTGGGTCCTGAACACAGGAGACGGAAGAGGATCCGGCGTGCGTCTGAACTGTAGTGCGGGGGAAGAGTATTCCCAGTGCCTGGGCCTGCCATGACAACCAACCCATGGGTCTTGGGAGAAGTACAGCCAGAATGTTCCTTAGAAGCAGGAGGGCTGTCAGGAGACCAGCCCCTGGAGAAGGACAGCGTGCTTGGTGAAGTGGAGGGGCAGCGAAAGAGAGGCAGGCCCTGGACAAGGTGCAGTGACACTGTGGCTGCCACCCTGCGCTCAATGGTAAGCATGGTGGCGAGGATGGTGCGGGGCCGGAAGGGTTGCTGTGAGCTGGAACAGACTCAGTGGCACCCAGCAACAACAGGGACAGAAAAGTCCCGCTGGTCACAGCTGGGGCTATGCAGTGGATCACTGTACTTTCTGTCTGTGGGTTGTACACCTGTGAACAGGTGAACTGGCTAATGTGTGACACTTAACAGCAACGACACAGAACAGTTGCTGAGGCGGCGGATGCACAACCGGGCACCTCATGAGACTTGGGTCTTTGTTTTGGAGCTTTAGGGTCCTGGCTACCTCCCACTTAAACGGGTGATCATCATGGCTAGTCCATCCCCTAGTCCCATGCCTGGGGAGAAGCTAGCAAGCAGGCACCAGTCACCGGGCTGCACCTCCTCAGGCAGGGAGTAGTGGAGGCGCGGCTGACTGCCCCCATGAAGGTGGCCTCCTGGGCCACCAGCCCAGAACTGGACAGTGCCTGGTCACCACTACTCAACAATCTCATCAACGATTCCACGGAAGAATCTTATCAAGAGGGGGAATGCATAGCATGCTCCAGCTCTCCTGGCTTCCACACTTTGGGGAGCCACGGAGGGTGGCTGAACCCCCGAACGATTGCTCTGAGATGGTCTTGAACCCGTGAACCAGAAATGTCCCATGAAGCCTTCCTAGTGACCAAACCACAGTCTACTTTGATTAGTCAGAACGGTCCGCCTTCAGCACCGGCTCTTTGAGGGGATGGCACTGACAACAGCTACCTGAGTGGTCTAGCCGAGAGTGGAGGGGCAGGCAGGGACACAGGTCGATGGAAGGACGTCCCAGACAAGGAGGTGGAGAATGAGTGCCGACCTCCAAGGATGGCACCAATGTCACCGTACATGTAGATAGAGGATGAATTGGTGCATATTTTGCCATATATGTTCTCAAAAGAGAATAAAATAAATAAAATTTAGAGGAAAAAGAAATCAAAACCTTCATTCCAGGAAGTCTAGATGATCGATCACGCCGACAACTGAGTCCTGGGCCTTTTCCCCAGATGCTTTTTGAACTCCCCTCACATTTGCAACAAATCCCGTTTGGGCTGGATTTGCACCCACAGATAAGGAATGGCATAGCAGCCTGAGACATGGGGACCTCGAGGGCCACCCCCGCCCGTGCAGTGGCCTCACCAAGCAGTGGCACGACGCCCGCCGCGATGACGTAGGGCACACACAGGGAGAGCAGGAGCACACAGATGACGGGGGCCGCCAGCTTGCGGATGATGTAGTGCAGGTCGATGTTGCGGATGCCGTTGGCGTACACCTGCATGTGGGGGAGAGCCGTCAGAGGCAGGGCACTGGGCAAGGCCTGCAGGGCCCTCGCCTGCAAGGCACATTCTGGACCAGCAGCCTCGCGGGTGTGGTGCTGCAAGCCTGGAGAGCGCACCCTAGGGACTTGGACTGCAGCCTGCCTCTGCTTCGCAAGACGCTCTCAATGGGAAGTGACTGGCTAAGCTTCACCCAGACTTGGGGGGGCTGTGTTTAATCCCCAGGGCACCAGGCAAGGCGCCTGTTCTAAGAGGAGGAGGAGGAACTGGAGAAGCTCCCCCAGGCCACCTGGCCCACCCGAGTGTCCTACCTGCTCAATGACTGTCTTCAGCCACCACTGAGGACCCATGAGGGTGATGGCTGCGATGATCTTGGCATGCAGGACCCCCAGCGCCCAGTCCTGGAGAGCAGAAACATCCAGAGGGCAGTTTGTGGCAGGGACACGCCGGCCCAGAGGCATGCGTTCTCCTCACTCCCTCATCTCTAACAGGCTTGGCAGGATCAGGGACAATGTTAGTGGGGCAATCTGGAGATGTCCCTCCACTGTTCTAGCACAGGTCTTGCTCAGCAAAGCAAAGGGGCAGCCAATATCCTCAAAATGCATAAATCCCTACAACTTAAGCAACAGAATGACAGACCACCTAATACATAAATGGGAAAAGGGCTTAAACAGACTTTTTGCTGAAATGGATATTGAAATGGTCAACAAACAACTTAATGATCAGCAACTTAAAAAAACAAACAGCCTTTGAGTGGATTCTGACTCACAGTGACCCTACAGGACCGAGCAGAGATGTCCCTGTGGGTTTCCAAGGCTGTAGCTCTTCAGGGAAGCAAGGTCTCACCTCTCCCCCGTCAGACTTAAAGAGTAACCATGTCCTATTGTGTGCCACAACAGGGCGAGCCTCAAAAGCATCATGCTGAGCGTATCAAAGGACAAATGGTACGTGACACCCCACTGGTATGAAATCAGCACATCACAGAAAGCAAAGGAGCCTGGTGGCTGCGGGCAGTGAGTCCCTGATGGGCCGTTGTGTGGAATGACTGGAAAGGACCATGGCAAAGCCCCACTATGCGAACAACGCCGGCCACATTTCAGAATCGTACACGCGCTTGAGATGCCTGGATTTGTTACATGTATACATCTCCATGGCAGTTCTTTTTTTTTAATTAATTTATTTATTTTGAAAACATAGTGTTTGTTTTTTTTTCTTTTTCTTTCTTTTTTTTAACACTTTATTAGGGGCTCATACAACTGTTATCCCAATCCATACACACATCAATTGTGTAAAGCGCATTTGTACATCGTTTCT